CTAAGAAAAGAAATAGCTGAAAATGTTAACAAATGGAAAAACATACCATGCTCATGGCTGGGAAGAATCAACATTGTTAAAATGTCCATACTATCCAAAGCAATATATAATTTTAATGAAATCCCTATTAAAGCCTCACTATTGTACTTTAAAGATCTTGAAAAAATAATACTTCGTTTTATATGGAATCAGAAAAAACCTAGAATAGCCAAGACATTACTCAGAAATAAAAACAAAGCATGAGGAATCACACTACCAGACATCTGACTATACTATAAATCCATAGTGATCTAAACAGCATGGTATTGGCACAAAAACAGAGAGGTAGATGTAAGAAACAGAATAGAGAACCAAGAGATGAACCCAGCTACTTACCATTATACGATCTTTGACAAGCCAACTAAAAACATTGAGTGGGGGAAAGATTCCCTATTTAATAAATGGTGCTGGGTAAACTGGCTTGTGACCTGCAGAAGACTGAAACTGGATCCACACCGTTCACCACTAAGATAGACTTTCACTGGATTAAAGGTTTAAACTTAAGACATGAAACTATTAAAATACTAGAAGAAAGTATAGGGAAAACACTTGAAGAAATTAGCCTCGGCAAAAATTTTATGAGGAGGACCCCCCCCGGGCAATTGAAGCAACATCAAAATACACTATTGGGATCTGATCAAATTAAAGAGCTTCTGCACAGCCAAGAACACAGTAAATAAAGCAAGTAAATAAAGCACAGTAAATAAAGCAAGGTAGCCCTCAGAATGGGAGAAAATATTTGCAGGTTATGTCTCTGACAAAGGTTTAATAACCAGAATCCATAGAGAACTCAAACGTATTAGCAAGAAGAAAACAAGTGATCCCCTCTCAGGGTGGGCAAGGGACTTGAAGAGAAACTTCTCTGAAGAAGACAGGTGCATGGCCTACACATATATGAAAAAATGTTCACCATCCTTAATCACTAGAGAAATGCAAATCAAAACTACTTTGAGATATCATCTATCGCCAGTAGATTAGCCCATATCCCAAAATCACAGATGCTGGCATGGTTGTGGAGAAAAAGGGACACTTCTACACTGCTGGTGGGATTGCAAACTGATATGCTCCTTTTGGAAAGACATCTGAAGAACGCTTAGAGAACTAAAAATAGACCTGCTATTTGATCCTACAATTCCTCTACTAGGTATATATCCAGAAGACAAAAAAAAAAAAAAAAAAAATCACACTACAATAAAGATATTTGTATCAGAATGTTCATTGCATCCCAATTCATAATTGTTAGGTCATGGAAGAAACCCAGTGCTCATCGACCCACGAATGGATTAATAAATTGTGGTATATGTACACCATGGAATACTGTGGAGACTTTACCTCCTTCATGTTTACATGGATGGAGCTGGAACATCTTCTTAGTAAAGTATCTCAAGAATGGAAGAAAAAGTATCCAATGTACTTAGCCCTACTATGAAACTAATTTATAGCTTTCATAAGAAAACTATAACCCAATGTTAGCCCAAGAATATAAGGAAAGGGGAGTGGGGAGGGGAAGGGGGGTATGGGTGGAGGGAGCGTGATTGGTGGGATCACGCCTATGGTTTATCCTATAGGGGTACATGTGAATCTCTCTAAATGTAGAATATAAATGTCTTAACATAATAACTAAGAAAATGACATGAAGGCTATGTTAACCAGTTGGATGAAAGTATTTCAAATTGTATATAGAAACAACACACTGTATCCCATGATAGTATTAATGTACACAGCTATGATTTAATAAAAAAAAAATAAACTTGGGCTTTCTGAATATTCAACAGGAAAAGGTTTTTCTATTCAAAACAAGAAAGTCTGATGTCTTAGAAATGTATGGAGTAGAAAATTTTAAGAAGGAATTAATCTACAGACCCAAATATAGCAAAAAAGTAACTCAGAAATATATGGCTTGAAAATGTGCATTCCTTTAGACAGTTAAGTCATTAGTGACTTCAGAAAGTGACATTGTAATAGAATGGTTAAAGAAGTAATCAGATTATAGAGGGCTGATGAGGGAATTTGCACGTTTGTAAAGAAAATGCAAAAGATTAGGTAGATCAAGCAAAGGTCACTGTGATGCCACTCAGCATCACAGTGGCAAGGATATTTTATAGGAAGAGGGAAATAACTAGTGCAGAGAGCGACGAAGAGAGAAATAAAGATACAGAAAAGAAGGGGATTACAAATGGAAGATTATTCTGGAAGTAGACTATGAAAGTGAAGGTGGCTGTGTGATCCTTTTAAATAAAATACCTAATTTTCTGGAAGAAAAGGAAAAATGGTAATATGAACATAGTTATAAACCCATTGGTAGATAAGAAAGGAAGAAATTGTTGGTATTTACCAGTTGAGTTTGATCAGATTGGGATTTAAGTGTGCGCTTAAGAAGCCTGAGAAAAATGTTGATAACTGGATAGGCATTGAGGGACATAATGTTAAGTTTTCTATTAACAAGGATTATCTTCAAAGAAAGAGATAGACAGTGACATTTAATAAATAAACAAACCGGCCAGGTGTGGTGGTTCACACCTGTAATTACTCTGGGAGGCCAAGTGGAGTGGATAGCCTGAGCTCAGGAGAGGGAGACCTGTCTCTACTAAAAATAGAAAAATTAGCAGGTCGGTGGTGTAGGCCAGCTTGGGAGGCTACAGGAAGAAGACCCTTGCGCCCAGGAGTTTGAGGCTGCTATGATGCCAGGGCACTCTATCCAAGGTGACATAGTGAGAAAAATAAGTAACTAAATAAATAGATAATACACCAATATTAGATCTACTTTTCCCCTTCCATGCTTCAAAAAAGACTCAGATTCACTAAATGACAGTAGGATACAGACTGTATTTTTGCACATGTAACTTAACTACTGTGAAAAATTATCAAGAGTTGAAGATATGATTGGACGATTCCATGTAGTTTTAGGATACAGTTTTTGCACACAGACCTACAGTGCAAATTTTATAGACCCGAATCGGGCTTACAGCTAATAAATTTCATGCTGAACTTGCAGCCACTTCAAGGGAGGCGGTTTTCTAGTTTTTACATTTACAGCGGCAGCCTGGGTTTTCCGGGACACGACGCACCACCCAGACAGCAGGGACTCCCTCATCTTTCTGTCCCCGGCTCCGCCCAAGAGCGAGTCAGCAGAGCCTCCCGCAGTTGCTCTCGGCTCACCGCGTGGGGACACCACCCGCGCGAGCTCCACTTCCGAAAAGCGTGGCTGGTGGGTACAGAGGGTGGAGGGGAGGACGGGACGGACCGATGGCCAGGAGCAGCGTCCCGCCGGCCGAGGGATCCTACACCGAGGCCCTCAGCTCCGGGATGGCCGCCCCGCGCCGCCCACTCAGGAATCCCGTCCCCTCCCGCTCGTCCCCGCTGGCCGCGCGCAGCTGCCGGATCTTGAATTTCAACACAAAGGGAATCCTCGGCCGCAGGAAGTGCATCACTGGAAAGGGGGCCCAGGGGCGGGGAGAAGGGGATGCCTCCTCTCTTTCTCTCCACCTCCGCCTTCCCGGAGATTCGGGCAGCCGTGACGAAATCCGCGGGGTCTCCCGATGCCCCCTGAACCGGGAGAATTCAAACAGGACCCCCCACCCAGCCACCAACGCAGAGGGGGAAGAGCCCTCCCGCCTCCCGCCACGCCCGAGTGCCGGTGGCCGGGACCGGAGCTGCCCTAGCTGCGGCTCAGACACCTGTTTGCTTTTCCCCTCCTCTCCTTCCGGGTGCGACAGCACCTGGGTTTACGTTTGTTTTTCTACCCCCGGGCTCTCAGCTTTCCTTCCACACCTCCCTCCGCTTCAAGGTTTTCTGCAAAGTCCGGGCTCTGGATGACTCCCTCCACCGCCTCACGGGGCTGCGCCCGCCGCAGAGAGTGGCGAGGGAGTCCCCTCCAAGCCCGGGAGAAGGGTGGGGAGAGACCACTTTCGTTTTCTCAGACACCATCAATTCCTGACAGTCTGCCAGGCTTTCTTCTTGGCGGTGACAGTCTTAGGGGGAGCCTCGCTGTTGGGCTGGGGGGAGAGGAGGGAGGATAGGAAACTTGTTTTGCAGCTATTTTTACAAGACACTCATACTGCTTTTACTTAAATAGTATTTTGAAAATTAATAAAAATAGCAAACTTTTCTAGAAATGCCTTATTCACTTTTTACAAGACAGCGGGAAACCATCCATTGTCCACTGAGAAGGTTATAATCTATTTAGTTTCGGATGGCCAGTGGCAATCCGGAAAGGAGCACCCAAGCACCCCTTTTTGGAACCCAGGGAGGAAAAGTGGAAAACTCACGCACTTTGGGTCGGTTTCCCAGGGCTAGATGACCCTGTGACTGGGGAGGAGGCCGGCCAACTTAATTCGAGGCTGCCCTGCTCTTGTAGCGTGCACTTGCTCGGGCAGGTGCACCGGAAGGGGGCCACCTCCCCCCGGGGTTCCTGGCTGCCACTGCTCCCTTGGACACCACTGGGGGGCCTCCCCCCTCCCAAGTTCTAGGCAGAGGCCGGCTACCTGCCCGGACCTGTCTCCTCCCCTTCTCCAATACCACACCCACGGGACTCTAGTCTCCTCGGGAGTGGGACGGAGCGGGAACAAAGGGGTCTTTGTTCACTGGCTCTTGAGGGGGTGGGTGGGAGTCGCGCTCTCTCGCGTTTCCCGGAGCCCCTTGGAGACCGGGAGGCTCAACGCCACCGCACCTCTCCCAGCTCCCAGCGCCGTCCTCGGCGACCCCGGAGACAGGTCAGGGCGCGGCGCCCCAGGCCACCGCGGACTCTCTCCGGGCGGGCGAGGTGGGGGCGAGGCACCCCACGACGGCGCCTGGCGGGCACTGTCACTGGAGGGACGGGGCGTGGGTGGTGGGCTCGGCAGCTGGAGGAGGTGGAGGGGGCGGGCGCGAGCCTGCGCCGGGCTGAGCCTGTGCCGGGCGGGCGCGGAGAGCGCTCTCGGGGCTGCTCTGGCCACGGCAGCGCCGGCTGGAACTCGGTGCGTCTCTCTTTCCATCCTCCCCCTTCCCTTGATCGGCCCCATCACCACCCCAGGCCCCCCTTCCCTTCCGTCAGCAGTTCCCCTTCTCCTTTCTCGGCACTTTCCTCTCGAGCCATCCTTCTGGACAAACTTTGATGGAGAATCTCACACCACGCTGGAAAAATGCCGGTTATGAAAGGATTACTGGCGCCGCAGAACACCTTCCTGGACACCATCGCTACCCGTTTTGACGGAACACGTAAGTCTCATACTTGGATGAGTTGTACGGTTTTTTCTGAGAAAATTTTTTCTCATAAGCATTACTTTTGTCCCCACCTCACTTTGTTCACCAGCAGGGTGAATTGCCTTCTGTTCTTGCCAAGATGTCTTTTGTGCGGAGAATTTTTTCTTCCAGGGTCTGGTGTGGTACGAACACTTTGAATTGGCATAGATAGTAATTGGCTTTCTTGACTTACTGGGTTTGTAAGGGCTGGAAAACAGCCTGAAGAAAGACTGACGCCTGGGTTCATTGTGGGATCTGCATTTTTTGTGTAACTTTAGGAAATAGCTTGCAATTTTATGAGGTGAAATGGGGATATTGGTGTACCCTGTTCTTCCAGAGTTTCTAGGCTCCCTAGATTTCATGGAGAGTTTGGAGTGTTCTTTCACGGAACATCGTTCATGGGATGAGAGGGTCATGATTTCCCATCTGAGTTAAGAATTGTAACCTGGAACCGGGATTGCCAGGTGTAAGCTGTCTGTAGAATTTTAAGTGTTGCGAGTTTGATTCCTGCTTTTGAGCCGGGGTAGCATACATCTTCATTTTAGCTTATCCTTCAAGGGTCCTACTGCTCTGGAGAGGAGCTGTGCATTATAAAGGCTGATATGAACGTAAGAGAGAGTGTTTCGGCTTTTTTATGGACAAATGTTGGAAATTTAGCTCGTTTAAGCTACAGTGGGTGGAGGGGAGGGTGTTGTGTAGATATGCCTGAAGGCTGTTCGAAGTTACATGGACGATTCTCTCTTTCAGGACCATGGTCAGGTCCCTGCTCCTTTCTACGCTTTTCAAGCCTTTTGCTTGGCCCTGTGGATCTTCCCTACAGGCTTTGGTGCTGCAGTTAGGAATGGGGTACTCCTACCCCAACGCAGGCTCTCAGTTGGTCCACTGTGAATATCCACACCACCCTTCTGGAATTCCTGCCTCTGTGCCCCATCTTCCTTTTTTCTACTTCACGAGACCCACAAAAACCCATTTATCTTAAAAGCTAGTATTCAAGTATCACTGTTTTTACTGTGGCTGTCTATTTCTTGGAGCTGATATGAGAGAACTCTTGTAATTCCATTTCCACTCCAGTAGTATTGATACACACTTTTATCCAGGTGAGAACCATCCTACTTCAGTTACAGTTGGAGAAGTTTACATGAAAAAGAAACGAATCACTTTGATTCTGTTCAATTTTGATTTTTGACATTCAGCCTAATTATGATATTTGGTGAGGATATTTGGTCACTTCTGTTGGCGTTTTTATCTTTAGGCTTAGCCTGTCTTTCTTCTTTTATATCTTAGATGTGTCAGACAGCACAAGTGAAGTGCAATGCTAATAGATATGCGCCTTCTTTAGATGATAATAAGAAAAATACTCTAGAACAAGTTGAAGTCCCTGCCATTGCCACCACCTCCACAAACCACCCACTACACAAAATCACCACTGTTGTCTTTAACCATGCATGATTGTGGGGGCCACCATATATTACTTGAGGAAAGGGTCAGTTTCATGAGGATCTTTGTTCTGAAATAGAACATCTCAAGCTAAAATGCTCTAAGCATTGATCCCGAATGCATCTATTGAAAACTAGGTAATTGGAAAATGGTTGCTGCTTATCTCATTGTCATTTAAAGTTGAATGGAGGGCAATATATATAATGATCATCCCAGCACAGCCCTGGGAATTTACTACAGCAATGCATTTAGATATCAATTGCTAACGAGAGATGCTTTAGATGGTCAGTCTGAGGATATCTTGGCCACTTTCTGACTCTCACTATAACATAATAAGCAGAAGGACATGTAGGGAGAAATGGGTGTACTTGTGAATAGCTCTTTTTCTATTTTAGCTACACACTGTCAAAAGATAGGTTAGAAATTTGAAATCTTTATTTGAGAAGACCATCATCACTTATCCCTTAACCAGTGGGAATAATGAAAAATCTGGTGGAGAAGATGCTTAGTGTATGTTACACAGGGTCCGTGGGATTCCTGGAGGGAACCAATTTGCATGAAATCTGGCAATCAGTGAAACAAATTTCAAAGTGATCAGTACAGAAAGGGTGACTTTGGCAAGAGTTTGTTTCTAAAGCTTAATGAGCACTTCTCCCAAGAAACACCACTCAGTGAAAGAAGATTTTGTTTTCTCATTTTCTTTTCCTTTTCTTTTTGAATTACAGGATGATTTGAGTAACCTGAAATGTTAAAGAAAATACCTTGAGTCAATTTTTAGCCACAAATTTTTGTATATCTAGAATAATGGGTATATTATTTCCCCAGCTAAATATTGATTTTATCTTATTATACTGTCTTTTCTTATTGATATCATTATTATCACTGAAATTCTGCCCTAGGATCATTCTTTTCTCTTTTTATTTGTTATAGCTTTAATTTATTTTCTTTTGCAAGAAAAAGTATTTGCAAGCTTTAAATTTGGAAGTTGCTGCCTATACAAATGAAAACTAAGCTGTAAAGTGAATAATGTTATTTTACTCAACATGTAATATAGAGTACCACATGTAATATTAAACCTCATGTAATATGTTGAGTTAGTATATTTTCCACTTTCTTTGTAAGGTATCTGTAACAGTCATGCCAGTTTTTTATTTTATTTTGTTTTTGACAGTTCTAATGAAAAAAATTAAGAAAGCATACTATAAACCTAGCCAACTATTTTGCTAACTTATCCAACATGTGTTATTATTATTAGCCTAATGGATTTGTTATCATAATGGAAAATAATAAAAACAGCTTAAGACATCACCTAAAAACTGTCCCAGAAATGAAATAAATATATGAAAATACAACTGTACTAATTTACCATCAAGATAGTATCACAGAGCAACATAACTGAAGTTAGTACTATATTTTATTACCTGTGAACACTTTACTGTTTTACCTAATACAATATTTTTTTTCTCTTAATATTCAAGAAGTAAACTCTGTTAGGATCGAAAGATAATTATATACCACTAAGTAAGGCTATTTTTCTGAGATGCAATATGATTGTAAGAGTTATTTTAAAAAAAGAGTTATTTAAAAATAGAAATCTTCTAGTACCTTTTATGTAAAATTAATATATTTACTTTTGAATTTACTTTTGAATTTACTTTTGAAGTAGGTTCTTCTGTGTTTACTAATAACCTTAGTATGTTGGCTGTGTATACTCCATTGAGGGAGGAATGACTCCAATTAATTTTTCTGAATTAGTACATATGGTAACACTTCTCTTAAACCTCTTCTCTAAGACAGCACACACACGCACACACACACACACTCCTAACATCATGGCCTGTACATGATTACTCCTCTGGAGTTGTTTTCTTTTTTTTATGCATTTAAGATACTTTAAAAAAATCTTTCAGAGTAAATTTAGGCTTTAAGTATGTGAGTATTAATCTGGACAAAATTAAAGCATGTTAGGAGAATACATTAGTACATATTTGAAAAAATAATTTTAAATACAAATATTTGCCAGAGTACCCCTTGACAAAAGAAGATAAAAAGCTTTCAAAGGGAAGTATTCATTTTCAAACATAATGGTGCATTAGCCTACATTTTCCAGCCATATCAAAATTTGGCCAGAATACTTCTTTCCCTTTGAGGTTACAAAGACAAGATTTAATTTTTAAAGGAAGTTTGTAGCCCAGTAGACTCTATCAAGGAGATTCAAAAGTTTCAAAATAATGATGTTTTAGAAAGTCATTAATATTTGCATATATTTTATTTTTTGCCTACGTTTTTATATAGCCCATTCAAAACGGTCTAAGAAAATTTGTTTAAAATTGAGACACTTCCTTTCAGAGGCAGTTCTCAATGTTTTTTCTTTTTTTTCTTTTCATCTTTAGACTTTAAAGAAGGTACATAGATCTCATAACATTAGAAGCACAAGGGCAAGGAAAAGGTACCCACGATCATTCTCTTGACTTTGTAGATGAGTTCTGTGCTCTTCAAAGAACTTATCACAGGGGTTCTCATAACTTCCTCACAATGAACAAATTGTTTGACTTATGAAAATTGGTCTTATGACCAGGCATGGTGGCTCACTCCTGTAATCCTAGGACTTTAGGAGACTGAGGCTAGTGGATTGATTGCTTGAGCTCAGGAGTTGGAGACCAGCCTGAGCAAGAGCAAGACCCGTCTCTACTAAAAATAGAAAAACTAGCTGGGCATTGAGATGGGTGCCTATAGTACCAGCCACTTGAGAGGCTGAGGTAAGAGGATCACTTGAGCCTAAGAGTTTGGGGTCACTGTGTACAATGATGCTACAGCACTCTACACAGGGTGACAGAGTGAGACTCTGTCTCAAAAACAAAAAATGGATTTATGTTTTTTCCAGAAATGCCTTTATTTCAATGAAATGAAATATACAGTGAAATATACAGATAATTTTAAAAAGGTATGCTGTATATTGTATAGTCTTTTTTTGTATAGTCTTTTTTAAAAGTCATATTATTTTGTTTTGACATCATTATATATATATATGTATATATATATATATATGTTAAGAATAGAAATTATGCCTATATTATATTGTTTCTAGGCTCTAGCATTTAGTATTACCTTCAGACCAAAGGCTAGGGCAATGAGACCTCTTCTGGCCAATGAGATTTGCAAAGAATACCTTTGCAGAAGGCTTGTATCCAGGGTACCGAATTACTGTACAGTTTCTGAGATATCCTAGACTCAACAGCTTCTGGAAGGAGCACAGTCTCCCTGAAGAAACATAGACTTTATTCATTCATTCAGTCATTTCTCCAATAATGTTTAATGAACACTGATTACATACAAAACCATCCTTCTAGGATCTTTGGGATAAATCAGCTTACCTTTTTCTTAACTGGGGCAATAAAACATATGCACAAGTCACCATAGTGTAGATTGGAAGTGGATAAGAATAATTCAGCCGGAACAGACAAAGGGCTGTGCACTTTGGGATGAGGAAGGAATAATTCCTCTGAGGGATGATGGGGGAGGTTTTCATATAATAAAAA